GGCGGACACAACATCTTTGTTGGTATGTGGTGCTGCTGAGGATCGAACCCGGGCCGCACGCATGCTAGGCGAGCGCGCTACCGCTTGAGCCACATCCCCAGCCCCTATGCTTCCTTTTCTGTTGTCCGGAGTTGGCTCCGGGTTGTGACTGCCTGGCATATCCTGTTCCCTGCCCACACTTGCTTCTAGTTGTGGCTATAAACTTTCTTTCCTGGGAATAAAAGTGACATGTTAGTTGGAACCTGGTTACTGAAAACAGGATGTTCTGTCCCACTGGGAGAACAGTCTATCTTATACAATGACAAAGCTGAAACATGGGAGACCTCCGTGTCTCTAAACCAAAATTTGGAGGAGAGCAGTTGCTCACCTAAGACCACCAGCAATGGATTATTATGAGAAAAAAACTTATATTGTGGTAAGGTATTGATATTTGGGCTTCAATTGTAATAGCAGTTACTGTGATTCTAATCAATATGGTGTTTGACAACTGACTTTCTATTTTAATTCACCAAGTCATAGAAGAAGAGCTGTGACGGTGTTATCTACTGTTCCTAAAAGAGATGACCCCTGAGTGGCTCAGAGAGACAGCTGTTGACCATCCCAATTCTCCCCCTAGGGAATCCAGGCAGAGCTGAGCTGAGAACCTCTAGTCCAGGGTCTTTTCCAAAGCCGAAGTCATGCTGTCGGCCAGGGACGCAGTTATCTGAAGGCTTCATTAGAGGAGAATCCAAACTCCCTAACTGTTGGCGGGCCTCAGTTCCCTCTGGCTTTGGGTTGGACGGTTCCTTTCCATGTGCGACCCTTTACAGGGCCGCTCCTAACATGGTAAATGGTGTCCTTGCAAGAGATGGGCAGGAGAGATGGGCAGGAGGAGGGGCCCCGATGTAAGCTGGGGTCTTTCTGTACTCTGCATCTGCCTGACTGGATGGAAAGGAATGCCCAGTGCAGCCCACTCTCAGGGGGAGGGCTGCCCAGCGGTGTGACCGGTGTGGCCATCGGGCGGCAGCGATGGTTGGGAACCCAGGGCGCGCAGCCCGGCGCGTCCTGCGGGCCGGAGCTACCCTCGCGCGGCCTCAGGTCAGGCTGAGGGCGGTGTCCTCGGGTCGACCTCTTGGCCAGCTCGGCCGAGCCGTGGCCAGGCAGAGGCGGGGGACGCCTGCAGGGGTCTCGGCCGGCGGTGCGGCTCCCAGGCCTCCGCCGCAGGGCGCTCAACACCCGTCCCTCGGGGGCGCTCGCTGGGAGGCCGGGCAGTGCCGGGTCGTCCTCCGCCCGCGGACCGCGTCCGAGCACAGGGCTGGTGGGCAGGAAATCAAACGCCCACCAGGAAATCTCAGTGCTAGCGGGCGCCCGGAAGTCAGGCGCGCAGCCCAGGAGTCCAGCTCCCCGCCCCGTCGGGAGGAGAGCCCGCCGCCCGGGGCCTCGCGTGTCCCGCGAGTGCCTGTGTCCTGGCCCCGGCCCGAGAAGCGCAGCCCCTCCATCCGGCCCACCCGGAGCGGAGCACACAGGCGCCCGGCTTCCCCACTTCCGGCCGCCGCCTCCGAGACCACACTTCCCAGGGCACCAAGCGGCAGGACACACGCACTTCCGGCCGCGACTGGAAGTCTCGGGTCCGGGGGCTGAGCGAGTCTGGCGCGGTGGCCGGTCCGGGCCATGGGGAGGGGTCGAACGGGAGGTGGGAGCTGTCGGCGGGGCTCCGGGAGGGGTCACCCCGGGTGCCCTGCGTCGTCCCTGTGGGCCGGAGCCTGGGGCCCTGGAAGGCGTCGCGAGGGGTGGCGGCCGCGGCCTTTCCGGCTTTTCGGGCTCGCCCGCCTGACGGAGGGGCGGCGCAGGACGCGTCCCCACGCCGCGGAGCCTGGGAACTCGCCGGAGCTGAGAGACGGTGGGTTGGGTGCGCCCCAAAGAGTGGAAATGGAGGCCTGGGTGCTGTCCTTTGGGGTCCGAGTACTGGAGGAGGCTGTCCCTGGCCTCCAGGGCTGGTGGATGCCGGAGTCCGCGGGGTTGGTGGCTCACCTTGGTCCAGAGCGTGGAGCGAGTTCCCAAGGGGTCCGTGACTCGCAGCGTCGCCTCACCAGGTGTGCCCCCCAGTTCAGGTCGTGGGCGCCAACACGAGAATGCTCCCCGTTACCGGCGTCCTCCGGGTCCTCGGCTGCTCTAGCGCGACCCTGTCAGCGTTTAGGATTTTCCTTCTGGGGTCCTTGTCCCGTCCACCAGGGAATTGGCCTGCAGACGGACCCAGGGTTCGCACTTCACCTCGAAATGCGGAGCGATTCCGTCTCGTCCATGGCGTAGTCACCTGCGAGTCAGTGCCAGAGACCATTCCCATCCTTCAGACTTCCTCTGTCACTGTCTCCAGGTCGTTAAAGAGAGGGGGACAAATTGCTGCTCCTAGCCACCTAGCCCTTGTTCTTTGCTTGCTCTCCACCGTGGGGTTAGAATGGCTAACCTTTGATGAGTGCCACTGTGCCAGACCTTGTTGAAGACCTCTGGGAGTGTTAACAGCAAAGGCACGACTTTATAAAGTGGGGACCACCTGTCCTTACAGATGAGGATGAGAAGATAAGTGATCACTAATAAGTTGAAGAACCAGGATTCAGATCCAGGACAGGCTGACTCCAGAGCCCCTTCTAGGATTTTTTTTTTCTTTCCTCCCGGTGCTGGGGTTTGAACCCAGGGCCTTGCATATGCTAGCACAGGCTCCTCCACTGAGCTCCACCCCCAGCCCTCCAGAGCCCCTTCTGTACTGTCCCTCAGTAATTGTCTGCAGTGGGTATTCCCAGCCACTTTTGACAATTGCAGAAACACCTGAGACTGGAAATAATTTTTAAGAGTTCAGATCTTCAAACTTCCACTAAGTGAGTTTGGAGATTTATTAAACTTTATGGTTCTAAGTAAGAGTTCATTCTTATTATCATCATTATAGTATCCTTTTAGAAGGCAATGGAATTTTGGGGAAAGAAGCCAGAATTCATTTAGATACTGTCCTCTTCCTGATTAAAAGAATGGCTAAGGTTATCGAGGAACTTCATCAAAGCTGCAGTTTGCCTCAAAAGCAAAAAACGAGAACTTAGGTCTCATGACAGTTTTGTTGGAACAGTTTTCTGCACTCAAGGATGTTTTGTCACATCAAAGGTAAGGCCTCTCTCTGGGAACAGTGGCATTCTCCAACGAATTCATCATGTAGAATCTGGACAAATCCTGGTTTCTTGCAAGAGGGCATATTTTCTGGTGTCAAGCAATTAATTTGTATAGTAGAGTCAGGAAGACTTAGGTTGTTGACTGATTCTTACTATTATGAGCTGTGTAACTACATAAAAGCTCTCACTTGCCCAGAGACTTGCTTTGTAAAATGGTGACAATATCCTCTACTTTGATGATTGTGGAGATTAAAAGAGATAATTAATATATGTAGCATACCTCATAAATCTCTGTTAATGAATAGGTGGCTGAGAGAGAGAGGCATGAAGAGGGACTGGCTGTGTTCAACCTGAAAACCCAGAGCAGAGGGGAACCCTAGTTGTAGGCTACAAATTCCCCTGTGGGTATCTGGTCTGTGGAGATGGAGTGGGGATGGGGGCAAAAGCAAATGCCGCTGAAGGTCAGGGAGGGTTTTTAAGCTGTGATTCCTAGTGCTGCCTGGTCTCTCACAATTCTCTCCTTTTTCAGCTCTGCTTGAGGCAAGGCGCTTTTCCAAATAAAGAGCCAGCAAGAAGTGGAGGTGACAAGAACTGAACTTGTTAAAGCCATGTGCCCGGTGAGTTAGTGATCCCTTTCTCCCCACTAAAGTCTCACTTTTCCTGATTTTGTTCAGTTTGTTTTTTTCTGAAACTTGTCTATTTAAGAGTTCCAGGCAGGCATGGTGGTGCATACCTATAATCCCAGCAACTAGGAGGCTGAGGCAGGAGGAATGCAAGTTCAAGAGCAGCTTGAGCAACTTAGTGAGGCCCTGTCTCAAAAAACAAAACAAAAACAGTTCCACCTTGGGGCCTGTTTCCCATTTCTTGCATTTCTGGTGAATGCTGAGACTTCAGGGATAGACTCAAAGGGTCCAGTGGACTCTCAGAGGTTCTTCCTCTTCTTCCTCCTTGGTATTTATGTTTTCCATTCAAGAAATGACCAAGTGTAAGCCCTTTCTTTGTACTTAGTCTTTCTTTAGTCATCCGACGAAGCAGAAGAACAGTTCTAAGGAAATTTTTAATAGCCACTATATCTGGACCCCGCTGGGGCTGGACCCCGGCACAGGTTCTCAGAAGACTGTCAACCCAGAATCTCAGGTCCCGAGAGTAGCCCCCAGGACTGAGCGTGGAATACTTTCTCATATGAAGGAAATCTAAGAGAATCTATTATTAGAATTCTAAAAGAACTGTTCAGACAGATCCTCTACCAGAGGGACTTTGGAACCTGAGGAGTGAGGATGTGCAGTGGAAGGAGTCTAAGCGGAAACCCGTCATCTGTTCTCCTGAGCCCTGTGAAGTGCTTCAGTGGTCAGAAACACAACTAATAGGCGAGGCTTCCTCCACAGGACTTGGGGCTGTCTTGTGTCGCTCCATCCTGGACCTGGGTGGCCTGGCCTTGGGGCTGTCTTGTGTTGCTCCATCCTGGACCTGGGTGGCCTGGCCTCGGGGCTATCTTGTGTCATTCCATCCTGGACCTGGATGGCCTGGACTTGGGGCTGTCTTGTGTCGCTCCATCCTAGACCTGGGTGGCCTGGACTTGGGGCTGTCTTGTGTCGCTCCATCCTAGACCTGGGTGGCCTGGACTTGGGGCCGTCTTGTGTCACTCCATCCTGGACCTGGGTGGCCTGGACTTGGGGCCGACTTGTGTCGCTCCATCCTGGACCTGGGTGGCCTGGACTTGGGGCCGTCTTGTGTCGCTCCATCCTGGACCTGGGTGGCCTGGACTTGGGGCTGTCTTGTGTCGCTCCATCCTGGACCTGGGTGGCCTGGACTTGGGGCTGTCTTGTGTCGCTCCATCCTGGACCTGGGTGGCCTGGACTCGGGGCTGTCTTGTGATGCTCCATCCTGGACCTGGGTGGCCTGGACTCGGGGCTGTCTTGTGTCGCTCCATCCTAGACCTGGGTGGCCTGGCCTTGGGGCTATCTTGCTGTCCCTCCATCCTGGACCTGGGTGGCCTGGCCTTGGGGCTATCTTGCTGTCCCTCCATCCTGGACCTGGGTGGCCTGGACTTGGGGCTGTCTTGCTGTCCCTCCATCCTGGACCTGGGTGGCCTGGCCTTGGGGCTATCTTGCTGTCCCTCCATCCTGGACCTGGGTGGCCTGGCCTTGGGGCTGTCTTGCTGTCTCTCCATCCTGGACCTGGGTGGCCTGGACTTGGGGCTGTCTTGCTGTCTCTCCATCCTGGACCTGGGTGGTTTGGACTCAGGGCTGTCTTGACTGTTGCTTCATGCAGCTGGATAAAGTCCCAGAGTCTCAGAACTATTTACTGAGGGTCAAGCCAGAAACTGTGCCTATTCTTCTTGGCCTCCTTTCCCCCTCCCTCCTCTTTTCACCATGATCATAGGTAACAATGTTTGAATGATTATCTTGTGCCAGGCACTTGATACCTGTTCCTCCATTTAATTTCACAAGGCCGCCATGAGGTAAATACTAAATTAATTGTCATTTTTTTCAGATGGGAAAATGGAGGCTCAGGGGAGTTAATGTACTTGGCCAAGATCACCCAGCTAGTCAGTGCCAGAGTCTGAATTCTTTGGAGTCTGAATTCTGGTTGCACTCAAAAGTGGTTTTTATTTAAAACTCTTACTTATATGTTGATACAAGCAAAATCATAGAAGAAAAGGCAAACCTTGGGCAACCACGTGGTGGATGCCTGTGGTGGCCAGTGCAGTCTGTGACCAAACAGGCTGTCCAGCGTGGCTTAGCCACCTGGTCTCCCGATGCCTTTCAGCAGAGTATAGAAAGACAGCTTCCCAGATATGTTCCTCTCTCCTAATGCAAGTATATTCTTATCTCAAGAATCTTGCTAGGCGGTTTTTCCTTTCATTGTTTAGGCACACCTCTTAACATCTCAAGATCACTAAGATTTCTTAGAAACATTGTGGAGATGGAAACCATGTTCGGCAGTCAGTCCCCTTTCTTGGAACTCCCTCACAGTCCCAGAGCTCTTTAGTTTCTCCCTGTGGAGATTCAACCTGCTCCTAATGTGAGTGACATTCTTTAGCACTTGGTTGTCTCCTGTTGTGAGTGTGATCAACGCTGTTATGGGAGAGTGGACTCTTACTGCCATAGAGTTATAAGTGAAGAATGGAGAACAGCTCGTCCTTCCCCAGCAGGTACAATATGAGTAGGCGGAAAAATCATCCAGTAACTTCCTGACGGGGTCATTTAGAATCTGGGCACAGTGACTTACCCCCCGTGGGAACAGGACGCCCGTTTCCCAGAGAACACATGGTATGGTGAGCACTGACTGAGCAGGACCATGTTTGTGTCATTTTAGAGCTTAGTGACTTTCTCAGACGTGGCCATAGACTTCTCCCAGGAGGAGTGGGAGTGGCTGAGCCCTGCTCAGAGGAGGCTGTACAGGAAGGTGATGCTGGAGACCTACCGGAGCCTGGTCTCCGTGGGTGAGTACCGTGCTCTCCCACTCCCTGCCCAGCAGCCGGGCCTGCCTCTGTCGCCTTTCCCTCAGTGTCCCTCTTCTTCAGGGCCATTGGTCCAGGGTCGTACTCTCGACTCTCCACAGCTTAGCAGATTTCGTGTCTCATAAGCAGGTCTCTGCATTTCTAAACCAGATGTAGTCCACTTACTGGAGCAGGAGAAGGAGCCCTGGACGATGCCAGGAGAAGTAGTCAGGGGCCTGTGCCCAGGTGAGTGCTGGGTGGTGAGAGGCTGAGTCTGTCTTCGCCGGTGTGTGTTGGAAAATCCCCTCACTCCCTCTCAAGTTGACACTTCTAGTGCCACTTGTGTGTGTGTGTGTGTGTGTGTGTGTGTGTGTGTGTGTTGGGAATTGAACCCAGGGCCTTGTGCATTCGAGGCAGGCACCCTACCAACTGAGCCACATCCCCAGCCTCTGATCCCATGTTTTAAGAGCTCTTCTCTTCCCCACTGATGCTCTGTATGCACCAGGGTCTCTTTCTGGACTTACGTTTATTGATGATTTCCTAGTCGTGCTCATGTTGTTATACTCACCCCTGCCCTTAAACATTTCTGAATTCTTTGACAAATTCATGTTTTTTTTTTAATTTTTAAAATATTTTCTTTTCTTTAAAAGATGATTTATGATGTTAACATGTATAATAGCTATAGTCTTTCTTCTGCCTGTAATTATTTTTCTCTTTGATGTTTTTTTTATTATTCTTATGTTGTTTATTATGTTTGTTTGGTTTTTTTTTTTCTTATTTGGCTTCATCCCACACTACCTCTTGATTGGAAATATTTTTAGTTCTATAAGTTGTTACCTCTTTGTCTATATATTTTTTATCTGTATTTTAAACTTTATCCACCTGAAATTCAGAATATTTCCCTTGTTACTCCTAAGGAAGATGGAGAAATTAGTTCACGAGTGTTAACTCTTCCCCTGTGTCCCATCCTTTCCCCCTTGTACTGACTGGCATTTGGGGCTGTTTTCTTCAGAAAACTTTTTATTTCCTCACTTTGTGTTAGAGCGGTTTTTCTGGTTTAGAAACTTAGATAAAAGACACAAAGACATGGGGCTCAGCGGTAGTACACTTGCCTGGCATGTGTGAGGCACTGGGTTCAGTTCTCAGCACTGCGTATAAATAAAGCAAATAAAGGTATATCAACAACTATATATATATAAATATATATATATATATATATATATATATATATATATGAATGAATGAAGTGGTGTTTGCCCATAACCCCAGCAACTTGGGAGGCTGAGGCAGGAGGATTGCAATTCAAAACTACCCTCAGCAACTTAGCAAGGCCCTAAGTAATTTAGTGAGACCCTGTCTCAAAATAAAAATCATAAAGGGCTGGGGATGTGGCTCAGTGGTTAAGCGCCCCAGGGTTCAATCCCTGGAACAAAAACAAAAGAACTATTGGAGGGGAATGAGACTCATCTGAGAGGGTCAAAGTTTATTCTGTGGCCTGTTGTGTGACCTCTTCCTCCTTTCAGTTCTCAGAGTTTCAAGAAGAGGATTATTAGTAAGTCACATGTGGCCATAACTATGCACATTAATTGACAAGTAATTAAATAAGATCAAGGTAGTAGAACAAGAACAAAGTGAATTTAATGAAAACCAAAATAACTCACATATAGTGACTTCTGCTTCTAAAGATAAAAGTGGGAATAAATGATTATAAAACAGATCTGATGCAAATAAATCAAATATGTGCCTCTTTAGAAAACCAGTAAAATATAAAAATCGTCAGGACAAATGATTGAAAACATAAAAACCCACAAATATATAAGGGAAAAAACAATCATATGCATCTGCTTTCCTCAACCCTCTAATTAATGTGAAAACCTGGATGAAGGAGAATCTAAAGTGGCACAGCTGACACCATGAGAGAGAGCATCTGAACAGACCATTTCTGCCAGCAAAATGCAGGAAATCGTCTGTGGATGCCTCTCCCAAGAAAAGAGGTCGCAGCCTGAAACAGTTTTGTGAGTCTATCTAAGAGACCCTTAGAGAAAATATAACCATCATCTGAAACATTAGTTTACAAAATAAAAAGAAGAGCTTGAAAAATGATTGATGAACACAGCATAATGTTTGATGCTGAAATCTACCAAAAGCACCAGAAAAAGGAAACCACAGACAAATTCTGATTGTGAGTGTTGGTGTGAAATCTTGACTAGAAGGTGCTGCAGTAAGTACCCCGGCCACACAGGGTCTGTCCCGGAGTGCTGGGGTGGCTGTGTCATCTCAGCTGGCTTCACGAACAGCAGACGCAGGTGCTTCCTGTGGGCATCATGGTTGATTCGCATGCTTTCATTTTGAAGGTTTCCATTCTTCTAGCACTCAATAAAGGACACATTTGTTTTCTTACTACCTTTCAGACCTGGAGTGTGTGGGGGTGACCAAGGAATCATCTCCAAATTGGGACATGGAGGAGGAAAAATTATCCCAGGCTGCAGTGATGGAAAGACTGACAAGCCGTGACCCTGAGTGTTGTGCACATTCTGGGGAAGACTGGAAGTGTGGACCCTTGCTGGACAGGGAGCTGGTAGGTCAGGAGACAGTCACTCATGTAGATACCCATGTTGAGAAAAGAGACCGTTCTACCAAATCCAGAACCCATTGTCATCAGAATACAGAGTCTTATATGACACAGATTGTTCCCATGGGGCAGAGAAGGTGTGATTTTGATACAGATAAGAAAACACATTCAGTTCCCCAAAAACCCAAGCAAGTCTATGGAGAAAAGAAACTTTTGAAATGTAACGACTGTGAGAAAATGTTCAGCAAAGTTTCGACCCTTACTCTTCATCAGAGAATTCACACTGGAGAGAGACCCTATGAGTGTGCCGAGTGTGGGAAGGCCTTCAGCCAGAACGCCCACCTTGCCCAGCACCGACGGGTCCACACCGGGGAGAGGCCGTTCCGCTGCCCGCAGTGCGCCAAGGCCTTCGGCCAGCCCGCACACCTGGCGCAGCACTGGAGGGTGCACACCGGGGAGAGGCCCTTCCAGTGTGTGCAGTGCGGGAAGGCCTTCGGCGACCGCTCCTCACTGGCCCACCACCGCAGGGTCCACTCTGGAAAGAGGCCCTTCGGGTGCACGGACTGCGGGAAGACCTTCAGGCAGAAGGCCTCCCTGGTGCGGCACCAGCGGTACTACCACAATGGGGAGAAGCCCTTCCACTGCGCGGACTGCGGGAAGGCCTTCACGGACCACGCAGGGCTCCTCCAGCATGAGAGGGTCCACACCGGGGAGAGGCCCTACAGGTGCGGCCAGTGTGGGAGGGCCTTCAGCCACAGCTCGTCCCTGACCGTGCACCAGCGGGACCACACGGGGGAGAAGCCTTACCCATGCGCCGCCTGCGGAAAGGCCTTCAGCCACGGCTCGCTCACGCTGCACCAGCGGATCCACACGGGCGAGAAGCCCTACGCGTGCCAGGACTGCGGGAAGGCCTTCCGCCAGAGCACCCACCTTGCCCACCACCGGAGGGTGCACACGGGCAAGAAGCCGTTCGCGTGCCAGGACTGCAGCAAGGCCTTCAGCCAGAACTCGCACCTGGCGCAGCATCGGAAGGTGCACACCGGGGAGAGGCCATACGCGTGCCAGGCCTGCGGCAAGGCCTTCAGCCAGATGGCACACCTCGTGCAGCACCAGCGGGTGCACACTGGCAGAAGGCCCCACGAGTGTCTTGAGTGTGGGAAGACCTTCGGACAGAGGGCATCCCTGGTCTGTCATGGATGCCTTCACACCGGCCAGCAGCCTTTCGAGTGTGGCGTTTGTGGGAAAGCCTTTAGCCATCCTAAGTCCCTGGCTCTGCATCAGAGAGTCCATGCAAGAGAGTCCGCATGAGTGTAAGGACCGCAGCAAGACCTTCAGCCAGGTGGCCCTTCTAACACGGTGTCAGAGGACCCACACTGGGAAAGGCCCTACGGTGCGCAGCCTGTGGGAAGCCTTCAGGCAGAGTGCGCATCCTGCCCACTGTCAGCGCGCGTTCTGCAGCCGCCTCCCCAACCCTTCCCTGCTCCCTGCGCCCGGCCACCAGGTCCTCGGGAGCCTCCTCCACGTGCCTCTAGACTGCCGTTTCCAGTCCGCTACCCAATTTCATTTGGACTTCTACAATATGACACAATTCCAGCTCAATCTTTTAAAATAAAAATACATGTTCCTGTTTCTTTTCCATTTAAAACACTTTAAAAAACAGGAGGTCATCTTTATAAGGGTTTGCACACAGTCCTGACATACAATTGGCACTACATAAATGCTAGTCATTTAGGTAAAAGTTTTCTTACAAAAATTTTCAAAAAAGAGAACCATAGGTCAAGGTAAGAAACCTGCAGCTTTAGAGCAGAATGGAACCTCCACTCTCCCTGAGTCATGAGTACTCTCAGAATGAAAGGTTCCCATGCATAAGGTAACATGTGGCTCCCCTCTTCTGTAAGCATGTAAGTGCAAGCAGCAGCCCAGGTGTTTCTTCCTCACCTGCGACTTAGAATAAGCCAGTTAGAACAGAAGCTTCTGGAAGTACACTGGACTAGCCAGTGGGTAGTGTTAGCAAAACTGAGAAGGAAGCTTCGATAGGTTAGTAGTCATGAAAGAAAACACACACACAGTAGCACAGACAAGTTCTGAAGTATATTAATGGCTGTAGAAATTGAAATACTATAATAATACCAAGGTGTATGCCTTTAATCCCAGCGGATTAGGATGCTGAGGAAGGCGGATTGCAAGTTTTAGGCCAACCTCGGCAACTTAGTGAGACCCCAAGAAACTTAGCAAGACCCTGTCTCAAAAACTAAAAAGGGCTGGGGATGAGTCCAACAAATCCGCCAAGATTTGTGGTTATAGAGAGGAATGTGGTTTGGGTTAGAAATTAGCAATCATTCAGTTGATGTTAACTGAGCACTTACTAATGTGCCAGGCACAGTTTTAGGTAGTGGAGATGTTCTGGAGTAGGAGATAGACAAAAACTACCTCACAGACTGGTAGAAGAGAACAAAAGCTTAAATACTATTTGACAAACACAGGTGCCACAGAGAGCCACCATCTAAGGAAGGCGCTAGGGAGTGCTGGGTGTGAGTGCCTGCTCCTCAGACACAGGGGCTGTGGAGTGAGGTGTCAGAGTCCCTCATGTTGAAGGGAGAACTGGGACACAGTGATGGAGAGGCTGTGGGGGAATTTCCTCTTGGTAGCAGCCCTGTTGAGGAATTATTCACATGCCATGCAATTTTGGATAAGACCTCCGTGCCACCATCAGCAGAAGTAAAGAGGAAGCCTCCAGGCATCACTGGAACTAACAATGCATGGCTCTCAGTGTATTAAGAGTTGTGTCACTGTCACCACAATTTTAGAATCTTGTCACTCCCAAGTGAAGTCCTTTGCGCTCTAGCAGTTAACCTATCCCTGTAGGGGTATTTTTTTCTGAAGCCCCAAAGCTCTTGGGTCTTCTCTTGGATGCTGCCTCTGACAGTATAGAGGTCCCTGTGAAGGAAGCTCTTAACCAGAGCACCTGGCTGCTAGGGAAATGGAGATTTCCAGCGCTCTCTTCCTTCTTTCTTTTTTTTTCCTGTATTTATTTAGTGCTTGGGACTGAACCCAGGGATGCTCTACCACTGAGCCACATCCCCAGCCCCTTTTTAATGTTTTGAGACAGGGCCTCAGTTGCTTAGTGCCTCCCCGAGCTGCTGAGGCTGGCCCTTGTACTTGGGATCCTCCTGCCAATCTCCTGAGCTGCTGGGGTGACAGATGTGTGTGCCACTGTTCCTGGCTCAAGCTCCTCTTCACATCTGATCCAGGGTACAGACTACAGGATGAGCAGCCTCATGCAGAGCATATATAGCCTTCAGATTTCCTGTGGATATGAAAAATGATTGTTCGTTGCAGTGTAGAAGAGATGGATTGATTAAATGGTATTGATATCCTAGCTCACTGGAAAAACTTGACCTGTACTTTGTACACTAATGGCAACCTAAAAGATTAAGGTTTTGAGTGTAATATGTTAAGTACAAGAAAGATGTAGAATGATATTTCTATACCCTTGGTTTGAGTCAGATCTTAAGCATTACACATAACCCAGAAGCTGACATTAGGCTGTACAAAATTTACGAGGTGAGAGAACTAATGTTTGCCATGTATGTAACAAAGGGTCATTCCCTGACTCAAAGCACCAGTACAAATTGGTAATGGCAACATCTGCAACTTAGGACCATGAGAAGCTAATTCAAGTAATGTATGTGCTTTCCCCCAACAGACCAATTTTAAATAATAGAAGACTGATAATTCCGGGATAGGTGCGTGCATGGGAAGTAGGAAGTCCACTGTTCGTTATGCGTACATACTACGCGAATCCGTATTTCTCAGAAACAAAAGTGTACACGCAGAGGAAAACATACAATGGCCAAAAAAATCAATGGTAAACTATTAGAACGCCTGAGTGCCCATCACTTAGAGTGTGAAATTTCATGGTGTATTCATTCAGCAGGATCTATGCAGCTGTTGGGAAAATAGATGTAAATGCACATATAGACATGAAAGAGAGCTACGTGAAAACGACACGGAGGGGACGTTGCGCGCTACAGTACGAACTCGGCATCGGAAACACGATGCGGCTCTGGAGGCGCCTTCTCCATGCAGTGTCCCTGGCCTCCGTCCGCATCTACCGCGTGGTTCCGAGGGACCTGGCCAATCACATTCTTGCTGGAGCTGGAAAGGCAGTTGGCACTGCTCTCTCCTTTTCAATCTTTGGTACTGGGAATTTTGAATCCAGGGGTGCTGCACCACTGAGCTGCGCTTTCTTCTATTTGGGGGCAGTGCCTAAGTTGCTGAGGCTGGCCTGGAATTTGAGATCCTCTGGCCTCAGCCTCCCGAGTTGTCACCGTACGTGGCTCTCTTCTGGTATCTCAGGAAGGCAAAACTGCACCAAGTTGATTCAAGAGCTAATCTGTTTTCATTTTCTATTTGAGAATGGGGCTGAGGCGAGGAGTGGGTCGGGCTTACACGAGGAAAGGGCGGGGACAGCAGACCCCAGTGGGCCAGGGTCCGGTCACTTTCTCCGTGAAGGGCAAAGCTCAGGGCACGTCCCCGGACTGCCGGCCCGGCCCGCGCTGGCGGCCTCCGGGAGAGCTCTTCAGCGGCCCGCCCTCCTTCCCCACCTCCCTCCCGCCAGCCCTGCCCCTCACGTCCCGGTCCCTGCGCCCACCGCGCCCCGCCCGCTCGTCACGGGACCCGCGGAGGCCTCTGGGAGAGGGGGGAGCGCCCTGCGGCCTCCGCTCCGCTCAGGTTCGCCCGGCCGCGCGCGGGCTTCTGGGAGGTGTAGTCCGGCCTTGTCCGCGCAGGCGCACCGCGGCCTGGAGGGCCTAGCGGGTGGGTCATTGTCCTGGCACGTTTCGCAGGTGAGTCCGCCCTCTACGCGGCCGAAGCGATCCGGCCCCCGGAGGGGACAGACCTGCGGGGAGAGGGACGCGTATGCAGGAGAGGGCGTGCACCCGGGGAGAGGGACGTGTATGCCGGAGAGGGCGTGCACCCGGGGAGAGGGACGCGTTTGCCGGAGAGGGCGTGCACCCGGGGAGAGGGACGCGTATGCCGGAGAGGGCGTGCACGCGGGGAGAGGGACGAATATTCAGGAGAGGGCGTGCACACGGCGAGGAGCTGCTTGCGGGGAGAGGGCGTGCACGCGGCGAGGGGGCGTGTATGCGGCCAGCGGCTACTTGCGGCGAGGGGGGTGTACGCGGCGAGGGGGCGTGCACGCGGCCGGGGGCGGGGGACGGGGGGGGGCGAGTGTAGGGACTGGGGAGGGAGTAGAGACAGGTGAGAGCGTATTTGTTCAAGGTTCTGCAGTGTCTCAGTGCAGGTCTGCTTAGGGGACTGGGTGGCCCGGCCTTTGTGTGTGCGCCAAGGTCCTTCATACACAGACGCTTCATCAGAGTCCTCTCTGTGTGAGGACGTTTCCGCTGGTACCCTGGGCCCGAGTCTCTGGTGTGATCTCTGTCCATGGTGTCTCTGCGCTGCCCTCTGGGTGTCCACCTATGTCTAAATTTTCCTTCTGTGTCTGGGGGAGCGGGAGTGTCACCTGAGTGTTTCTGGGTGTGAGTGCCTGTCTGGGTGGGTGCATACGGGCAGGTGTGTGTGCTCCTTCCAAGGTGTGTGTGCCAGCCCGTGGGCGCCTGAGCCGGGGGCCTAGAGAACCACTGCCTCCGGCCCACACTTCTCCTAGTCCGCCTCCCAGCCTCCCCCTACTGCCCCTGGCCTGGCGAGGAGGGGCTGGAGGGGCGGGTCCTGGGCGTGCAGGGGGTGTGTGAAGGACCGGCGGGGCTGCAGCTTCTCCCTCTGCCTCCCAGGGCGTGCATGAAGGGCCACTCGCTCTTTTCCCACAGGAGTCCTCTCTCCGGAGTGTGTCCAGCTGGTGTCGGACTGGGCACTTTTCCAGGGCTCCTGAGATTGTCTTACACACGGGAACCGAGGCTCCGACGTTAAGGGGGCCACCCAAGGCTGCGCCCAGGCGTCCAGGTTTCAGGGCCCCCTTTCCCTTTCTGCTCAGCTGAGACAGGTTACAGGGAGGCTCCCTTTGAAACTGGACGTGAAAGAAAGGAAGGAAATACCGGGGAGCTCAGGGGAAGAAGGGGAAGGAGAAGCCGCTGGGTTTGCAGCCACACTGAGTGCCACCTCACCCGCTGCGCTCCTGGCCACGTTGCTTCTAGGGCTGCTTTAGGACTTCTGGGACTCTTTTCTATTCATGGGCAGCTTATGCCATTAAAAAAAATCAAGTTATATTTGTGATTTCATGAATATACAGTTCAGGTTGCCATAGATTAACCTTTTTTTTCTTATGATTTTAAAATAAATCAGACTTTTCCCAGGCCCTGCAGGTATTATGGGGCCCTGCTGTGTGTGGACAGGTTAAGTAGTCCAGCCAAAGGAACCAGTGTGACCTCAGTGCCAGGGTGAGTGCTAGAGATCATTGACCAGAAGAGATACAGGTTAAAAATTAAATTCTGTTAAAAAATTCACGATGAGACTCTAAGGTTGCTGCACCCAGGGGCACAACTCAGAGGAATAGAAAGAAAAAAATAATTAGCAGCCCCCGTCCCCCACTTCCATTCCACACCTCGAGGTACCAGCCTGGCCTTGCCCGGCACTTCTGGAAAACTGGGCACCACTTAGTAAAACCATGAACACATGGATAGGAGCGAGACTGACTTCTGCTCTCCAGAAGTGACCTAAAGTGACCTGTTCTCCTTGTCAGAGGCCCCTCCATTTATGTGACCTGTTCCTTTGGTCACGGGGTTTATTGGTTTCCAGTCCCCCACCTGCTCCCAGTGCAGGATGGAGCCCAGGGCTTCACACGATAGGCAGGGCTCCCCCGCCCCTTACTTTATTTCCAGTCTCTAGTTGCCCAGACTGGCTGGAGCTTCAGATCCTCCTGCCTCAGCCTCCTAAGAAGCTGGGATCACAGGCCTGTGCCTCTGACTACGCAGCTACTTTCTGCTTCCTGCTTGGCTTTCAGGATAGCGCCCTTCTAGGCGCACTACCTGTCCCCCTAGTCACTCATCAGGCTCGCCCGCTCTCGCCCTCTCTCTCTCTCTCTCTCTCTCTCTCTCTCTCTCTCTCTGTGCTTTACCTCTGAGGCACACCCCAGCCCTTTTTAATTTTTTTTAAAGATGGACACAGTATCTTTTCTTCATTCATCTTTATGTGGTGCTGAGGTTGGAGCCAGTGCCTCGCGTGTGTGAGGCAAGCGCTTTGCCGCTGAGCTATAACCCCAGCCCCTCCTTTTTAATTTTTTGAGACAGGTCTCCCTAAGTTTCTGAGGCCGTCCTCACACTTGCTATCTTCCAGCGTCACCTCCTAAGGACCTGAGATTAAGGCGTGTGCCACTGGCCCAGCACGTCCAGGGTTTCTGTTGGTTGAGGTGGTTTTACGTTTTGTTTTGTTCCTGGCTCTGGGAGCAGTGCTGCAGTGAACTTGGTGTATTCCGTGGGTGACTTCTCATAGCTGTGGCAGATCCCAGGGTTGTGTCCTGCCCATCACCTTCTAGAAGGAGGGTGAGGACCCCCCCCTTCAGCAGCCTGTGGGGAGTCCCACTTCCTGGTCCCTTGCCCCGTAAGAGGGGCTCTGTTCTTGAGTCAGCGCTGTGTTTGGGCATCTCCTATGTGACAGATGTCCTAGATTTCTGAGATACCATCCAAAACTGCCAATCCTCTGCTCCCCCGGGGACTTGTGTCTGGGGGGAAGACAGGTGACCCCTGAAGGCGGCACTGATGGTGTCATGAAGTGTGCTGGAGAAGACCCGAGTGGGCTGTGGCTGAAGGGCTCAGGGCCTGGAGCGGCTTCTCCAGGTGACTCTGAGCTGACCCGAGGCGCTGGGTGGGAAGAGAGCCCTGCAGAGGCAGAGGCCATCCCACACTCCCAGGCCTGGCGTGGTGCTGTGGCTCCTCTTGTCTCACTTTCTTGCCCTGGAAGCTGGTTGGGAGGCTCTTCTGAGCAGAGCACTGGCCTGGCATGTGTGAGGCCCTGGTCCAAGCCCAGAACCCCCGACAGGGTTAATGCTGCTTCTAGCCCCCAAGTGGCACCGTTCAGCTCCAGGCTGGCCAGGAGTCCATGCTGAGTGATGACATCTTGATAGGCTCCCAGTAATTTTGGTGTTTGGGAGATGGCAGTTGCTGAAGGTCCATCTGGAGGGGGACTGGGCTTTCCCAGGTGATCTCCAGGTTGTAGGTGTTCAGGGCAGCCCGGCTCAGCCAGGGGCACACGGAGCACTGATTCTGCCAGAGGTGACACAGGTGCTGAGTGCCCCATCTCCAGGGGCCGCTGGTCCTGGCAGGCGAGTGTGGAAGGACTGTCTGGCCTCCAGGTGTTACCCTGACCTGTGCCAGCTGTCCTGGGCCTCCAGGTGTTACCCTGACCTGTGCCAGCTGTCCTGGGCCTCCAGGTGTTGCCCTGACCTGTGCCAGCTGTCCTGGGCCTCC